AGACTCAGTCTGACTTTAACTAGGCCATTCTAATACAGGAATATGCGTCTCTGATCGCGTCATAAGGAAGGTTGCTTCACTTCCCTACAGTCAACACAAAGCTTCCCCACAGCATGATGCTGCCACCACCGTGTGTCGCCGCGGCAGATGGCTTCCTGCCACAACTCCATTATGGTGTGCAGAGAATAAAACTGAAATCTTTGTGGTTGCTTTGATGAAGAACTGTGAGACTGACGGTGAACTGTCCAGATCTATGGCAGTTAGAGCCTTGGAGGTTCTACCCGGTTTCCCACAGACTTGCCCTGATGGTCATTTATCGTTTGGTGAGTGATTGACAAACCTAAAAGCTAAAACCCTGGAAGAACAGTTTGGTATTCCAACCTTCCCATCACAGAGGAACCCAGGGAACGTCCACAGAAAGAACCAAACATTATCCAGGGAGCAAAGAAAGCTGGTTGCTTCCAGAGAGATTCTCCAGCATAAAGACTATAAAGAACATCGCAGCTAAACCAGTGAAATGAACAAAATGCCAACCTGTGGATGAGAAGCCGTCTTGGCAGCCGATTGGTTCTCTACTAGGTGGGAGATTCGTCTCCCTCTAATTGTTTCTGTATGAAATCAGAGGCTGAGATCCAGCGAGGCGGCACACCCCCACCTCAGGACGTGTCGGACTGCGTGTCTGAGTGAAGCACAACAGGAAGTCAGCGAGAAACGAGGCGGACGAGCTTAACTCTGTCATTATCTCCAGCAGGATCTTAAAAAATGGAAATGCTGCAAAACCTGTAGCCGTTTCTATAGAGAGAGAAATGAGGACTTTTCCTGACGGTTGATCCAGACTGGGAGGAATCCTGACGGCTCCGTCACCTCCTGGACTGGAGCAGATTCAGGATCAGATGCTGGATCCCTCTGTTCTCACACCAGCAGAGTCCATACCTGTTTATCCCTTTAGTCAGGCACAAAAAAACTATTTAAATACTTTTTGGTCTTTTTGAAGTGTACAGTAAGCTAGCTTTAAAAAGGGTTCAGTCAGTTAGCGTTAGCATTCAGTTCAGAACTCTGAAAAACCGTCAGCAGCAGAATCAGAAAGTTTCTTTCAGATAAACACATAAAAGAACATCTAATCTACTGATCTAAAGCAGAGAACGGCAGCGCAGGAAACGGACCAATCAGCAGCCGGACGACGGCTCACAGTCTGACGGCGGAAACAGACCGGCTTTTATTTTCTACTCACTGAAATAAACTAATGACAGTTTTTAAAACTCAGTTTCCCAAAGATGAGCAGGATGTTGAATTTCCTGCATGGCTGAAGATTTGACTCTAAACGCTTTTTTTTTTAATGAGCCAGAATTACTTCAATAATTGATAAAACACCATTTAGGTCGACTCTGATTTATTTATGTTCATATTTTCTAAGTTTCTTTCTGTCTGAATTGAAACTCTTCAGGTGTCTGAGTTTAAACTGCAGAAATATTTGCAGAACCTTTGCAGTCATTTGTTTTTGACCTGCAAGTAAAGAGTTTAGGTTTACTTCATTAAAATCATATAAAATAAACTAAATTTGATTGAACTTTATGTCCTTGTTTCCAGAAATGTTGAAGCGGCTCAAATCGATGAGCGATGCAGAGATAAGGTGGAAAACATCATATGAAGCATAAGAAGGTCTTTGTTCTTTATTGTGAGATCTTCAGGGGAAATCCCTCCATTAATCGCTTATGATGAATAATATTTCCTTTAATTTTCAACTTTAACTGATGGAGCGTCAGAACAAGCAGGCAGCATGTTTGGCAGAAATGATTCATCTAAAAAACAGCTCAGCAACTACGATGAGAAAAATACATTTTATCGTAATCCTCTACTTAATCTGCCCCCATTAGGCTAATATTAATTTAGCTAATTTGATTTAATTAGACTTTTTGTTTGATTTTAATTATAATCTAAACAGAACTACAGTATGTTAGATTAGATTTGTTTCAATTTGAACTGGATTAGTTTTGACTTAAATTGGATTAGTTTAAATTTTAATCGGATTAGTTTGGGGTTAGGGTTATTTTAACTGAATTAGTTGAGATTTTATCTAGATTACTTTTGATTTTAACTGAATTTGTTCCGATCTTAACAGGATTAC